ACACGCTTCCGAAATGTTGAAGAAGTGCGAGAATGGGTGGACGAATGGATTGCTTCGAAACAAACATCGTTTTATCGAGATGGTATCGCCCAGTTGCCAGAAAGATGGCAAAAAGTTGTAGAAAGTGATGGAAAATACTTTCATTGAAATAATTTAAATACATTTTTTACAATAAATGCTTTTTCTCAGTATTTTTTGGGCGGAAACTAAGTTAAGGTCCTAATATTTGTGTACTTTTACTAATTCCGCTATATTGGTTATATGCAGGTGGTTCGTGAAAAATATGAGAACCACAAAGAAGGAATGGAAATTTTAAGTTTAGATGAGGATGAACTTACTAGTAGTGTTCCACAGGGTTCCGCTGTTCAAGAAAGTAATGTTGTTATGCAACTTAGAAAATTAATGGAAGATGTAAGTGAAAGATAAAAAGACTATGACAAATGAATTCATGTAAACGCAACTTGAATTTTTAAGGATTTTAAGTAATTATCCTTGAATATCTTTGTTTTAGGTTGGGACTTTGAAAGCTGAACGTGATGCTATCGAAAGCGAATTTAAGTCCGCTACTAATGATATGAAAAGCACATTTTTATCTGCATTGGCCAAAGATGGTGCGATCGATGAACCGAATATATCTGTCGAGAGTTTGGGAAAATGTTACGGACCTTTGCAAAAGCAAGTACGAGAAAATATAGCACGGCAAGAAGAATTAGTCGCTGAGATTCAGGTATGTCTAGATTTTTGTAGGAAAAAATGGTAATCGTCTATGATATAATATAATTGTATAATTGTCTATTATTACATTATAATTGATAATTATCTATGGTGATATAAAGAAATGAAACATAAATTAATTTGTAATGTAATTTTAGAGTTGCCATGCAGAATTTACAAACGAACAAGCCGGTGCTGGTAGTTCGCGAGAAACAATGCTCTGTAAGCTGGCTTCCGCCTATGATGCTTTTAAAGAGCTTAAAAGTAACTTAACAGAAGGGGCTAAATTTTATAATGATTTAACGCAGGTATATTTGCGCATCTATTATATTCTTTCGTATGTTCACCATTAAAATGTCGTTGATGTGTCTACACATATACGTTTTTTTTTTTCAATAGTTACTGGTGGTTTTCCAAAACAAGATATCCGATTTTTGTTTTGCCCGAAAAACTGAAAAGGAGGAGTTACTGAAGGATTTAACGACAAATTTGAGTCATACCGGTCCTGCTACGACACCGAACATTCCATCGCATCACAGCGGTACAATTAATACCATTAATTTTGATATTATACTTATAATAATATTTCTCAATCTTTCTTAGATGGTATATACCATTATTAGTCAAATAGTTGTAGCGATATTTAAGGCTCTGCTATTTCTGGAGCGGTCATATTGGTTTGATGACGTCAGAAGCGAGAAATGACATTCTGTAAAATAGTTGCGTTTTATTGCTTTATTTTTTACTTTTCCCTGAAAAACCAAATATTTTCCTAATCCTAAAACCTATAAAAAATACAGCAAACTCAGATATCTGGCTAATATATCACGTAGCATCGTAAAATAATTCCTGAAATAATGGTACATTTTCGGCTGTCACGGTGGTTTGATAGCTGAGATATCAGCATGTATAAACATATATAATTTCTCGATTTTCACAATGTATCACATGTATCACAGAGTTTACTGCACATTTTACGGCTATGAGGATAACACAGTTCACGGAGAAACTGCTAAATAACGCGATAAAACGCAACTATTTTTCCGAAGTGTCAAGCGAGGCCTAGCGTGAGCCTGGCCTAGTGTTAATCAATCAGCTACGCTGACACGGCTATTTCGTGTTCTCGACACTAATAGGCGCCACTGTCAATTCAGACTTTCTGCGGCGAGATAACAGAGTTTTAAAAATTGTCCACTAAGTAAAAAGCTAGATACTGCAGAAAATATTTTAGATTATTACATTTTATGAAGATATTAAATCTTTACTTAAAGGGCCACCTGGCGTAAACCAAACAGCGGATACAGCATCGTCACCACAACTACCTTATCCTGTGCAACAAAGTGGTATGCCCATGCCTTATGGTGCTACACCAGCAACACCATATCCAGCATATATCCCTCCACCTATGCCAGCAGCTTATAATCCGTATGCAACGATGCCATATCCTACACAAGGTATACAAATTTCTCCAGTCTTATTTCTAGTCATGTGTTATTGGGAATTATTACGAATATCTGATAAAAACTTCGGATATTGAAACCAAAAAATTTCGAAAAATCTTGGATGTTATCAAAGTCTCAGTATGATTAATTATTGTTATACACAATATAATTTATGTGCATATACATTTATAGATTTCTCATCTATACAGGTCCCATTTTAATCGATCACCTCAAATATCTTTTGAACAGTGCATTTTAGGGGAAAATGTTTCAGATAAAAGTTTTGGGATTTCGAGAGAGACATAAGATGATATCATTGGTTTGACCTCGAGTAGCGTCGTCAAGGTCAGGACAAGGTCACTTTGAATTTTTTAAATGGAACCCCCCATTTTTCATTACATATTCTTATAGCATACCTCGAGAGCTTTCCAAAACACTATAATAAAATATTTTTTCATCAAGTATCTTTCAAGTTAAAAGGCTTCAAAGTTACAATATTGTTGCCATTAGCATTGGTACCCAAGGTGTTCGACCGACGGCTAAAACCTTTTGAATGTTGTTCAAGGCCATGATCTTGATAACATTTGTCAAGATCAAGGCGATTGGAGGCTTTTTCTAATATTTTCATTTCTTCAAATTTTACAGTGAAAACGAAAATAATTTAAAATCATGGGGTAACATGTGGAGTCCGATTGACTCTAAAGGATCATATGAAGGTCACAATGTTTCGTCGGGGCCACAAAGAAGCATACGTGTGAAATCTCATTAATAAATTTCTTTAATAATTATAGCATTGTGACGCCACTCGAGGTCAAACCAATGATCATCTTATGTCCCCCTCGAAATCCCAAAACTTGTATCTGAAACATTGTTCCCTAAACTATTCAAGAGATATTTGAGGTAATCGATTAAAATTGGACATCCTGTATATACTTTACTTTAGCATGCTTTACTTTAGTTTTTCAGAAACTTTCAGTTCTAAATAATATTATATCTTCGTACAATCAATTGCTTTATAACATGTAAATACATAACTATTTTTTTATTATGACTACTTATATTTATTATGAAAGTGCAAAATTTTTTCTGCTTAATGCAGCCATTGTCGTTTATAATCCAAACAAACTTGTGTTTATAGGTCGTTATATCACATGTTTTGCGATAGTAAATTTTTTATAGTATAGATCGTTATTTTTTGTTGAACTTTAAGTACCGCTTTATTAATTGCATAAATATACATCAATCAATTTATAAATATATTTTCATGACTATGAAAACAGAGATTTGATTGCTCATTATTAACGATCTAATCTATATTATACATAAAGAAAAAAAGAAAAAGAAAGAGAGAAAAGTGTATGATATATTTGTGGAATTTTAGGAGGATATAATCCGTACCAGCCGATACCTCAAGCTCCGTACGGTGGCTACGCAACATTACCGCGTTATAGTGGTGCTCAACCGCCACGTGGTCCAAACCCATGGTAAAAATTATACAGGAGCATGTAGTATTAATAATAATATTAGAGTATACTTTATAGTATACTGTGATTTTGTGATTAATATGTAAATCATAATATTGATTGAGATAAATCAAGCATTTTATATATAAAAAATTCGCTATTAACGTACAACAAATTCATGAAGACAATGATAGCATTCGACAAAAGTCAATATATACGTTAGCACTTTGTGTTATATTCTTGAACACTTTGTGTTATATTCCAGATTCAACTTAATGTTTCTTTTTATGGTTACAAGCGGTTATGCTTTCCAGCACTTTATACGTATTAAGTGCATTTTTAATATGCTAGGAAAAAATTGCAACTACTTAATAAATATGTAAAAAAATGGCTAGACAGTGTTTAGTAGATGTCATGACAATTGCAAAATTGCTTTTTTTGCTGAATGCATCCAATGCCGTTTATAATTCAAAGAAATTTGCGTTTGTGGGTCGTTGTATTACACGTTTTGCGATAGTAAAATTTTTATAATACAGATTGCTTTTTGTTGAGCTTTAAGTGCCGCTTTATTAATTGCATAAAGATACTTTATATATATATCAATTTATAAATATATTTTTAAAATAAGCTGAACATGTATAAATTATTTTTACACCTGTTATTGAGATTTTATTGGGAAAAAGTTGTAAGTTGGTCCTAATGTTGATTATGTAGATATTGAGCAATACAGATGATTATATTATTAAGAATACATTATTAATAAAGACAATTTGTATTGATGTCATAATATGACTTTATAGTAGTATGTAAAGCATATTTTATATAATTGCGCAATATTGTATACATAAAATGTGTGACGTAAATAAAAAATATGCATCTACGAGTTTTCTTCAAACAATTGAAAGATCATTGATAATGATTTAGATTACTTTTACATTTTTATAATATTGTTCCATGTCATGCATAATATTTATTTTCTTATACATTGCTATAAATAATATATCGCAAGTAAATAATATAAAATAAGCATTTTACACATGAGATGTAATTACACTGCGCAATTAAATTTTTTTTAAGCTTTGGCATTCCAACGGTACGTTGTGCTGTCGACTTTTTCATAGGAAATTAAAGGTCATTTAGCACATTTTGAATCTATTATCCTTGTTAAGTTTTATTATTATCTATACACTAAAAATTTTTTTTTTTCGAAACTATATCAGGTTTCACGCCCAATTGCTCAGTAACTTCCTTAGCAGTTTTTCGCTTAAAGGGGAACACCTATGTAACCGACTGAAAATGAGATCTATATTTGGGAATTTTTTTTATTTACTAAATCGTGTTATTAAAAAATGAGTTTGATAACTTCATTAGGCATATCAAAAAGTACAACAAATAATTTTTTTATAATTAAATTTTATAAAATGGTGGATCTGCAGAAACGTGAAGAAGACAGTCGATTTGGCAAGGTGATCCGCGATTAGCAGCATAAGTGCCGTAATTTTTGGTATAGAATAAAAAAACAAATTTTTTTTCTTTACTTCAGTATCTAGAGAAATACGTAGCCGTTTTTATAATTATTGATTTTTTACAAAATGACGGAATTTAAAAGAAGAAAATCCATTTTTCCACAAGAAAAATCGAATAAAATCAGCTGTAACACAAAAAATTTGTAACTTATCAAAAAAATCCTACGTATTTCTCTAGAAAATTTAATTTTTTAAATACTATTAAAATTTGAAGTAAATTGATTAAAAATTGTTTGAATTCTACTGCTAGCAAACTTCAAAAACGCTGTTTTGAGAAAAATGCGTGTAAAATTTTGAATGTTAAAATTTTTAGATTAACAGCTATATTACTGACAGTTATAATACATTTGAAAGTAATAGAGTATTTACGCCATCTATGTACTAATTAGAAAACTTAGAATCGTCACAGGTAACTGCAGGTACAAATATTTGTATTTTAGGAATCCTAAACGTTTCGGAGTACCGAGTGTTCGCTTAGTCCGGCTTAGCGCGGGAGTCTATAACTTTAGAAAAAAAATTTCTTATTGCTATAAAACCACTTGCACTTTATTTTTAAGACCTTGAAGTGTATTTTAACAGAAAAAAACGATTTTCTGAAAATTCTACATAGGTGTTACCCCTTAACTCCACATCTGCACTAGGTGATTTAAGCTTAAGCCTCAAAAACTAACCAATCACAGTCGATTATTCTCCTCAAATTTGACTGCGATTGGTTAGTTTTTAAAGCTTAACATTGTAACAACCGTACTCCGCGTGTCGGTTGGTGTCGATGCCACGGACGTATTCGCTCGTCGGAGTCCGGGTTCGTGAAATAAAATGACGCGGATTGTAATAAACAAAAATAACAAAAAGATTTATTCAGCCTTGGTACAGAGTAGTCGCATATTAGTATACAGTTCTCCTGGGTGACGGCGCCAGTTACCGGATCGCGGTTTCGGTAGGCCGCGACAGGTAAGTCGGTAGGCGGAGCGTATAGCGCGAAAGCTAAGCTCGCCTCGGAGATTCGGCAGGCGGTCGCGTGTCGCGATTCGGTGTTCGCGATTCGTGCGCGGCTCGCGCGGTTGGTCGCGGGGACCGCGCGGTGTCGGCGGTATCGAAGTCGTATCTCAGTACTGTATGCTGTCTTCGCGTTCTTGGCAGAGACGCGCTCGCTTGCACGTCCGCGTCGCAAGAGACGGGATGGGACGTGAGTAGCCGATGTATCGGCGTACTCACCCCCGATCTCGCTCGTCGAAAGGCTGAGAACAAGGGTCGAGAAAGCTCGACAGAGCGCAGCTAACTTACTGGCTTCGGTCCTTGTTCGGGATGTCGACGGGATGCAAACAAGAGTCGATAAAGATCGACAGAGCGCAGCTAACGTACTGGCTTCGGTCCTTGTTTGCGAGGATGTGATAGTTGGCAGGTTGAGGAAGCAGATACGAGTTGGTCGTAGGCCTTGCTCTCCGCTGTGTAGCATCGAGTTCGGTTGACGGTCCGGATCGATCTGGTCTCGATTAATTTGGCGTCGCGAATTATATATTTGACGCCGCTTTGTCTTCGCTCGCTGTACACGTGCTTGTCGCGTGCCCGCGGCGCTCGCTCTCTATCGTTTCTTTTGTGTGACGCTGTGCTCGCGTTATCGCGTGTTCCTCGCTCGCTTTGTTTACGCTTATTGTCAGCTGTTTACGCGTTTTGTCCCTTAGGTCTTAGGGCTATCGCACACAAATTGACATAACTGCATATACATAGCATAAGACCGTATGTACCAATAAGCATCGAGTATTAAGTCGCCATATTGGTGTTCGATGCTTAATATTCGATGCTCATTGGTCCATACGATCTTATGCTATGCATATGCAGTTATATCAATTTGTGTGCGATAGCCCTTACGGCGTTTATGTTGGCGCAACGCGCCGGTACACGGCCCGACTGATGGTCGGTCGGGCCGGAGTAGTGACGATGCAGGTGTGCATCGTTACAACATTTAAGGCTCTTGCCCCTCGCCGCGGCCATATTGGTTTTATGACGTCAGAAGCGAGAAACAGCACGTAAAGAATTATTGTATGACATATCTAAATAGAAAGATATTCTTCACAAACATCACTCAAAATCACTTCAACATACTTGTAAAAAACTCCAAATTCTCACTTTTTCCTTGAGCAATCCATAGTTGATCAAACGAGTGTAAATTATGCTTCCACGTATTATATTTCATGAAAAGCCGAGAACTCTGAGTATTTTACAGGTTCGCACGATATGTGTAATGTCATAAAAATCCACTGAAACAAATAATATTTCACATATAAACACATTTCACATATAAACACATTTCACAAGAAAAAATTTGGCTGTCAACAGCAGTATTATGCTGGGATAAAGTTCCGAAAAGTATTTACCCTTGATTTTTTTAAACTGAGTATTCCTACGTATATTGACGGGCCGATTACTAATATCATAGTGAAAATTGGCGACTACTTGATTTTCATGGTGAAAACCATGAAAAACCCATAAAAATTATGGTTTTTATTACTTTTATTTTAGTAAATTATGGTTTTTATTACTTTTATTTTAGTAAATACGGAAAATAATAAGAAATGTTTTAAACAAAAGTTTTAGATCTCACTGAGATAAATATTTTAGGTCCTAAACATTTTCACCGTACGAATGATAATTTTCGAGGAAATCGAGTATAAAGATCGTAACAGCGTTCTAACGGTCTTTATACTCGATTTCTGCGAATCCCTTCTGCGGATTATTTTGCCATGTAGACAGTATATTCCCCCGAATCGTGATGAAAAGAAATAAAGGAAAGAGAACTTACAGTTATGAAAGAACTCTAACAAATTTTTTTAAGAATATTTTTAACATTTTTAACATTTGCAACACACGGGAAAATATCGAACGACTAGCGGAGGGCTGCGCCCCTCGCACCCCCCTAAAAATGAACCTAACCCTACCTATCGTCACATTAGCTGTCGGTCATTGTTTATTAAAAAGTTATTAAGAAAAAAAGTTAAACACTTTTTAACCTCAACAACGATAGACGTTAACGCTGTTACTGTCTTTATACTTCATTTCCTCGAAAACTATTATTCGTACGGTGAAAATATATACAACCTAAAATGTTTATCTCTGTAAGATCTAAAGCTTTTGTTTAAAACATTTATAATGATTTTTCGCATTTACTGAAATAAACGTAAAAAACTATCATTTTTATGGTTTTTACCATGAAAATCAAGTTGCCAATTTTCACTATGATATTCGTAATTATTGCGTCAAAATACGTAAAAATATTGAATTTCAAAAAAATCGGGGGTGAATACTTTTCGGAACTATATCCTTAGGGTGCCATTACATGAAGCGCGGAAACGCGGAAACACGGAAGACAAAATCTTACTAGATTTCCGCGTTCCGCGAATTAAATCATTTCTTCCCGTACGTTAAAAAAGCGGAAAAGCGGAAGGCCTAAAACTTTTCTCTTTTGTCTTTTTATCCAAGATACCAAGGTATGAATTCCAAAAAAATATCAGGTCCGAACGTGTTTAAACACGTCTTAATGTAACGGCGGTTAGATTGAACAACTTGTGATGACTTGTGACAACTTGTGACAATGGATTTTTCCGCGTTTGTTCCGCGACTTTATTTCTCCTTATATTACATGGAACACAATTTACGCGGGAAAGCGGAACGGTTTGGTGACCAATAAACATCTACTCATTTTTTAAAAATTGTATTCACTTAATTTACTGCAATTTTTACTAATATGTTTATCTTTTCAGCTTATCTGTTAAACAAGCATTTTAATTAATAAATACCGTCAAAAATTAATATTTTATAATTCTCCAAACCGCTTTTCAGCTCAAAATATGTCTTATGTAATATAAAGGTGCCAATACATGGGAGCGTTCCAGCGTCGAGCGTTAAAGCGTTAGCCAATCAACGTATCAGGTCCCAGAAGTATACTTGAAGTTCTTGCGAAAAGTGGCACGTTGATTGACTACCGCTCGACGCTCGATGCTCCCATGTAAAGGTACCTCAAGGCAATCAAAACAGACGCGGAACGCGTAGCGGATCTAGTAAAATTTTGTCTTCCGCGTTTCCGGGTTTCATGTAATGGCACCCTTAGGGCGCCATCCCACGGAGCGGAAATTTTCAGCGGAACGGAACGTACGGAGTTAGCATGACCAATCACAGCCGTTCCGCTTTTCTTCCGGAGCTTTTTCTATTTTCCTTGTGTCTCATGGAGCAGAATACGCGGAAGCGGATCACGCGGAACAATACA